TTATTATAATATATTACACAAATATATTATTATTATTATAATATATTTATTTTTATTATTATATAATATATTAATATATTAATAATAATATAATAATAATATATTAATATATTATTATTTTTATAATATATTATTATTATAATATATTACACAACAAATATTTAACTATTATTTTATTTAATGAAAATTATTCCAATAATTATTTTCAATAGTTTTAGCTGCAAAACTCATATTTTAATTTGAAAAAGTTCTTTATGTCAACATTAAAAAAAAAATTGATTTAAAATACTATGATATAAATTTTAAAAAATTACACTATATATACACTATATTTGTTCTATCAGATTTAAAAAGTTTTACGCCTTCTTAGAATAACTTCCAAAAAACTTCATTAAAATTTTAAAATATAATCGATATTATACAGGATTGTATATTTTAATTCTATAAATCTTATAAATACTTAATAAATACTTAAAAAATCGATATAACATCATTATATTGTTATATAATAATTCGTATTTCGTATCGGTTTCCTTATTTCATTATAGTTATAGATATAGTTATAGATATATAGATTAAACTTGCTTCTAATAAGTATTCTGAGCTGTTATAGCATCAAATCTTCAATTTATTAAATGAATAAGTGATTAATTCAAATTTTTAATATTAAAATTATGGACTTATAATGAATATCTAAATATATATAGATATAATTATAGCAATTGAAATAATGAAAATAAATAGGTATATCTGTAATTATTTTTCCAATAAAGAAAAATATTAATTTATCAAAAAATGTTTCTATATTTTATATAATATTTTATATTATATTTTATTTATATATTAAAATATATTTTGTATTTTATATAATATAGAATTTATAATAATTATAAAACAAAATATTTGAAATTCGTCATTTAGTAATTTTAATTCTAGTATTTTAATATTAATAAAATAATAGATAATAGATAATATAATTTAATTCTAATATTAAGTTAAATCTCGATATTTTTTTCAATAGTTTTTACAAATGACATAGAATAAATCAGCTGTTAATGATGTAGAATTTATTTTCATGTTTATAATAACATAAGATATAAAAAAATATGCGTTAAATAGTTGTATAAATTGAATTGATAAACATTTCACAAACATGATATTGAAGTTTGGCATTTTTTTTTCTTTCATTGAAACTGCGTTCTTGACCTTGAAGGAACAATTATATAGATTGCGATAAATAAAATCAATAAAAGTAATTATATAATATGTGACCACTTCTATCATAGCAGATAATATTGTAATATAATATATGTATACTGTTCTTTGCTCTATGATATTAATGACTTAATTGAATTATCTAACTGATATTTAAAATTAACGATGCATTATAGATAAATATTCCATTTATATTATTAATTATCCAAATATATATATATTATTAATTACCCAAAAAACAAATTTGCTTGGAATTGTTTTATTTTTAAGTATTTTTATTTATAATGTATATACTTTTCTATATCTATATTAATAAATATTTTATATTCTGAATAAAAATTATAACTTGTATTAATATATATAATATTTACTTAATATTTATTTTATTTTTATTTACAATTTTCACATTCAAAAGAAATTGATTTATTGTATTTAATATAATAATTTACATATATAGAATATACAGAATAAATTTATGAGAAAATTATAATTTCAAAAACATTTTTATTACGATATTTTAATAATGATTTTTAATTATTCGATATTATTATGAAATTAATAAATTATTTACTCTTCGCCTTTAAATATTTAAGATATTTGAACTATTAAATAAGTAAATCTTTGAACAATAAATATCAATTATTCGAAAATTTACATTCTAATGATTAATTCTGTATTGATTAATTCTTATTTACACATGTGATATATATTCATTTCAATTATTTCTTATTAAGTTTCTTAATATCATATGGATTTTATTATATTTATTATATTATATTTATAAATTTTACAATTTAATTTTCTATATATTTTTAAAAAATATTATTATTTAAAAAAGAAGATAAATAACTTAGAGATAAGTTAAGAAAAAAATGTGAAATAAATTCTTTTTTACTAGACATCTTCAAATTAGTATAAAAAATTATTTATAACTAGAAAGAAATTTAAATAAAAAAAAAACATACAAAATATAAAAAAATTATAAATGAAATGTACATTGAATTAAATTTTAATATTTAGTTTTTCTTTTATAGTGAAAAAAAATATATGAACTATATAAAGTCATAAATTTATCACAAAATATCTTTTATTATATTTATTTAATAAATAAAATTTATTTAATAAATAATAGGACCAAAAAGATTTAAAAAATTAAATTTATAAAAATATATATAAAAATATATTAATATGAAGAATATATAAAAATATATTAATATGAAGAATATATTACAAAATTTCATTTTGTATTTTAAAATTTCTTTTTAAAAAAGTGAAATTAATAAATTGTATTATAAAATTCTGATTTAAAAAATGATAAAATGTAACAATTATATGAAATAATACCAAATAAGAAAAATAGATGATAGTCTTTCACTCACATTCACTAGCAACAGGAATATGCTCATTAACTTTTTCTAGACCATAATAAAATAGTTTCTGTCAATGTTAAATTATCTCATGATTTATTTCTATTGGATTTATTCAAATCCAAATTAAATTAAATCAAACAAGTATATTCATTTTATTTCTTTTTGATAATCTATTTTGATAAATAAAATTATAAATCTATTTTTTAATATTAATAAAAGATAATAAGATAAATAAAACTGTTTTAAAGAATAATTAAAAAAAATTATTATTTATATTAAAGAAAAAAATTATTTTTATGATTTTCATGATTTTATTATATTTCATATTATATTTCATATTTTATTTTAGGGAATGGCCTTTTCTCTTCAAGAGAGACAAATATTAGGTATTCATGGTCTTCTTCCAGCAGCTGTGAAAAGTCAGGATGAACAACTAGAACTCTGCCGTTTAAATCTGGATCGTTATGATAATGATTTATCAAAATATATATATCTAATAGGATTATTAGTATGTATAAATTATTTCATTTTTTTTTCTATCAATATTTTATTTTATACATATATCTATAATAATTTGGAAAAATATTGCTTGAAATATAATAGAATAAATAGGACTTTATCAAGTAAAATTATTGTTTTTTATTAATTGTTTTAAAAATATATATATTATTTTATTAAATTATGAAATTTTATTTTATTGAATTAGAAATGTAACCATATATTATTTATATTTTTATAGGATAGAAATGAAAAGCTTTTTTATCGTTTATTGGAACAGAATGTAGAGAAAATGATGCCTTTGGTGTATACACCTACAGTAGGTTTAGCATGTCAGAAATTTGGTCTGGTTTACAGAAGACCACGTGGTCTTTTTATATCTATACATGATAAGGGTTATGTTTATGACATTTTGAATAATTGGCCTGAACATGATGTAAGAGCTATTGTTGTTACTGATGGTGAAAGAATATTAGGATTGGGTGACTTAGGAGCATATGGAATGGGAATACCAATTGGAAAACTATCTTTATATACTGCTTTGGCTGGAATTAAACCTCATCAATGTTTACCAATTACTTTAGATGTTGGTACAAATACTCAGGTTGGTGAAAAAATTTTTAAATAAATTAATTATGCAATAAAATAAAATAATTATCAATTATTAATAATTAGTAAAAATAAGATATAGTTTTTTTATTTACAGATTATATTAATTATATAAAGACAATTTTATTATATTTTATTATATTATTAAATACCAAAGTTTAATAAAATTATTAAATATTTAATTCTTGTATTTAATTCTGTTTTAGTCATTACTTGATGATCCTCTTTATATTGGCCATAGGCATAAACGTATTACTGGTAAAGAATATGATGATTTTCTGGATGAATTTATGGAAGCTATCATTAAAAGATATGGACAGAATACTTTAATTCAGTTTGAAGATTTTGGAAATGCTAATGCATTCAGATTACTTAATAAATATCGTGATCATTACTGCACTTTCAATGATGATATCCAAGGAACTGCTTCAGTTGCTGTAGCTGGTTTACTGGCATCTCTTCGTGTTACGAATACAAAGTTATCAGAAAATACAATTGTCTTTCAAGGTGCTGGAGAGGTAAATAACATTAATATTTTATATTTGATTTAAATTTTTATTAATGATACATAAATCCATAATAAAAATCATAAATATGAAAATGATATATATATTAAAATATTTCATTTATTATTTATAGGCTTCATTAGGTATTGCATGGTTATGTGTCATGGCAATGCAAAAAGAAGGTATTAGTATAGAGGAAGCCAAAAGTAAGATCTGGATGGTTGATTCAAAAGGATTAATTGTTAAAAATCGCATAAGTGGTGGATTAACAGAGCATAAATTACATTTTGCTCGAGATGATAAGCATATAGATTCTTTATTAGAAGTTGTCAAATATGCAAAACCTACAGTACTTATTGGTGCTGCAGCAGTTGGTGGTGCTTTTACCACAGAAATATTAGAAGAAATGGCAAATAACAACGAAAAACCTATAATATTTGCTCTCAGTAATCCCACAAGCAAAGCAGAATGTACTGCTGAACAAGCATATATTGCTACAAAGGTATTATTGAATTGTATTTTTGAATTATGAATTTTCTATTTTAATAATTTAAATATTAAATTTTTCATTTTATTGAAAAATATAACGTAAATTGAAAAATATGATAAAATACATGAAAATATTTAATATTCATTTTTAAATAATTACAGGGAAGATGTATATTTGCTAGTGGATCACCATTCGCACCAGTAACATATAATGGTAAAACTTTTTATCCTGGCCAGGGAAATAACAGTTATATTTTCCCTGGTGTTGCATTAGGTGTGATATGCTCTGGTATGCGCACCATCCCTGAAAATACATTCCTTATTGCTGCAAAATCATTGGCCAATATGGTTTCTAATGAAGATTTAGAAAAAGGAAATCTGTATCCACCATTGCAAGATATTCAAAAATGTTCATTAACAATAGCTGTTGATGTGATGAACTATGGTTATGAAAATGGTAAAATATTTTTAACATTCTTATATAATTATAGATAATTATTATATAAACTAGAAAGATTTATTTCTTCTTTATAGATATTGCTACAGTTCATCCTCAGCCCAAAGACTATAAAGAATTCATTAAAGCACAATTATATGATACAACTTATAAACCATCAATTCCTCCAATATATAATTGGCCTAATTTGTAATTTTGACTATCATCGTGTTATATACGAGGTTTTAATAAAATCTGAATAGATCGATTGTTTAGATGAACGCGATATTTATATAATGGTATATTTTTTTTTTTTTTATTTGTCATGATATTGTAAGAATCTGTTGAGCAGGTTCGAATATAATAACTATTATATGTATATGTATGAGCTATGTATGAATGTGTATTATAAAAAAGTAATTTGAACAAAAATATATATATATATATATATATATATATATATATCTTATTATTGTATAAACGTATCGTATTTGAATGTTTTAAATTATTGGGATGAAAAGTAAGATTTATCAATGGAAAATAAATTTCAAGTGATTATTTGAAAGAAATGTGTTTATTGCTACTCGAAACAGTATTTTTTCACAGTATTCAGATATATATTCCTTTTTCTTTTTGTACGAGCAGCAGGATGTGATAAGATTCCGTCATGTTGTATGTATAAGAACTAAAAGAGACAAACAAGATGTACATAAGTGGTAAGAGTTCCATAATTTTTAAGAATACATTCCTATATTTAAACAAAATAAAAGCAGAGATGTTCTTAGGCACGTAAATCCGCATTTCTTTTTTAAAGATATGCGACATACGCGTAAAACTTCCAATATTAAGTGTATTTAAAAAACAATCTATCTGGCTTAGCCATTTAATCGAATCGACGAAACTTAAAACACACATGATTGTCTGCAACATCGTAAAACAATGCAACGAAATTCAGATATATAGTGAACCCAAAAAAAAAGAAAATTTCATATTAGCCATATCCTAAAGCATCGAAAAAGATACATTAGCACTTTCTAAGACAAATCGTATGCTATATCTTATGATTTTTGAAAACATTAATATGTGTATTTTACGACGGTGAATTGGCGTTCATTGTCTCTCTCACACACCCTTTCTTTCTCACTCTCACTTTCTCTTTGTTAATCTTATTTTAATATCATTAACACGTACGCATATATTTACTTGTATCTTAATGCTAAATCTGATTCTTACTACTAATACACGCCATGGTCATCAATCTATAACAAACAGAGTATAAACTGCGACCCTTCTTTACTCCAAACTTTGTTGCATAATAACATTGTAATAAAATTAAGGATAAAATGTACAGAAGAGCATTTAGAAAAAGTTTACAATGTCGGGACGCTGTTACGCTACACTGAGCAGACACACTGGTCTTTCTATGAACCAGTAACAGGGACCTACATTTTGTCAAGTTGGTTTGGCTATTTACCAATTTTAATGTCTCGTAAATAGAGATAAGAAAACAACTTTGCACATTTTTATGCAAAGATTTTTGATGATATATTATATTATCATATATAAGTTATATCCGAGTTCCACAGCACCATTGCACTACTGCTTTTTCTTTTATTTTACGTCGTTAATGAATAATACGATTTACGATTTAATCAATATCATCAATTGTTGTTAACAAATTTAATCATATTTCCTAATAAAATTTTGTTTTTTTTTATCTAATTGTTTAATTTTATTTAAATATCGGTTGACGTCATCGAATCTTATTATTGCCGGAAAAGTACAGTCTTATGAGACTTAAGGATTTGAAAATAGCGACGTAGGACAGTAGTGTCATTGACAGTGGAGTGTCTGTCCAGCACGGAAATCGGTCCCTTTCCTAGCTTCATCGTGAGAGAGAATGTGATCGTTCGTGACTTTGTTGGGAATCACCAGCTGCTCGAAGATCTGGTAATCTTTGATGTGCAGGTAACGCATCAAAAAAGGGATGTGCCAATGAATCCTTCAATGTTATCCTCTGTGATGGTTCATATTCTAACATTTTTTGAATGAGATCGAACAATTGTCGATGTTCTTCGTCATCAGAAAGCATACAACGCTATATATATAAAAATAAAATATATTAGATTATTCATTATAAATTAGATTTCTATTAACATTTTTGTTATCTTATTTTATAAAATATTATATTTAAAATTATCTACTATAAAAATAATAATTATATATATTTCATATTACAAAGTTATTATAAAATATTTATATGATATATATAATATTATAAAATATTTATAAGCAAATGATGATTGTATATGTACTTAGGTAAATAATATTACTTACATGTAAAGGTTTGCAATTATCTCGAACGTATCTGCCTGCTGAGCTTTTTTCATCCCAATCTAATTTGCCATGATAGAAGTACTTAGTTTTAGTTTTACGAGCCATACGGTGTGGAATTGTGCCAAGTATACGTTCCATCATCGCTAAATGTTCACGGTTGTCGTGTGTTTGGAATAAAGTAATACCCAGGTACAGTTCGAAGAGAATGCAGCCAATCGACCATACGTCACAAGGCTGAGACCATCCTAATTCTATATAATATATATAATGAATAGTCTAATAAATAGTTTTTTTTTTTGCAAAATGCAGTTGATTTTATAAAAATTACTTACCTAAAATTACTTCAGGCGCTCTGTAATGTCTTGTGCTAACAATCGTGCTATGATGTTCATGATCAAATGTGGCACTACCAAAATCAATGAGTCTAATGTCTGTCCGTTTTACACGTCTAATATCTCTTCGCTTAAAAAGAAAAAATTTCTTTTAACACTTCAGAGCATAATACTTAATTATATATTATATTTATAGTTGATATAAAAGTGTCACTTAAAATCATGTAGCATTAAATAAATTAATATTATTGTATTGAAATATTATTAATTTTAAAAATCACTTTTATTATTTTAATATTTTAAAAATTAATTTCTAATCTTTTTTCAATTTTCATTTATGGTTATTTTGTAACAATTTTTTTTATTTTTTTCTATAAGTTTAATATATAATTAATATATAATTAATTTTTTAATTGTTATACATTTTTTAAAATTAATTTCATTTTATTAATCAAAAAGTAACATATACATAAATTTTAAATAAATTAAGTAAAAGAATTAAATAGAATCTTTAATTTAATATATATTATTGACATTGAATTTTACTGATTAAATATATATAAAAATAAATTTCTTAAAATTTAATGATATATTACTACATTATTAATTTTCAATTCTAATCAATTTTCAATGTTTAATTAAATTTAATTTTCAATTAAAATATTTCATGAAAAAATTTTTATAAGTACTATATTATTCAAACTATATTATTCCAACTAACACGATAAATTATTTTATGTTTATATGGAAGATGTTCATTCCTCACCTTTTTGCTACTATATATACTATCATAATCGGAATCTACGAATAATATATTTTCTGGTTTCAAATCAGTGTGCGTGAGTTTGTTATCATGTAAGAATTTGACGGCATAACATAATTGATATCCAATGTGCCTGACATGTTCCAATGGATAAGGCTGATAACTGTTATCTCTCTGTAAATATAAAATAGTTAATATATAGCAATAATGCATTATTTTATACAATATATAATATATAAAAATATTATGTTATTAAATATAAACATACCAAAAAATCAAATACACTAAGTCCAAGCATTTCGAAGGCGATACACATATGTCCGTGATAATTAAACCAATCGAGCATTTTCACGCACAAGCTAAAAGTAATAATGAAATATTAAATGAATGCTGAAAACAATTTAAAAATGTAATATAAGAATCAAATGAAGAATTGTGATACATGTCAAAAGAGGGCGACTCTTTTAAGCATTATAAATTAATTTTTTTATTTTAATATCATTTATATTTTGAAATTTTATGATAAAAATTATATAAATTTAATTATATTTTTAAATATTTCTAAATATAATAATTTTTAGTTTTTATGTGAGAACTTTATTATTTTTAATAAAATGAGAAAAAATTATAATTTTATTGGATTCTTATTAATTTTTCAGTTTCCGAATTATGCTTTACTGCAATATTAAGTTGAATATTATTGTGTGTTTTCCTGCAAATATTGTTTTTTATAATATTTATGAATAATGAATATCATTGTATAAAATATTGTTAATATAACAGAACTGTACAATAATATAGTTTTCAAATATAGATATAGATGTTTATATTATTTTATACTATACAAATTTTAATTATTAAATTAATTACTAAAATTAAGTACCAGTTTTAATAATAACTAGTAACGATATCTCAATATTCTTAAATAATATAAAATAAAATATAAAATGTTAACTGAAAAGTTTCTAAAAAAAAAAAAAAAAAAGAAATATCGAAAATAAAAATTTCGATGTAAAAATTTTCAATTTATTTTTACTTGAAGAATCACCCTCTGTTCATCAATCCAGTCCCCACCAAGTCTAAAAAGCCACGCAAATACTAACTGTTGGCCTTCCGGATCCTTGGTCGCAATTTTCTCTAAAGCGTTTATTTCGAGCTTCGCGGCTTCCCTATACTTCTCTACGTTCTTGATGATTTTCAGCGCCATCACGTGATCCCTGCAAACGTCATTGTACTTTTATTAGACGACACTGTTCACGGACCGTCAATAATCCACATGGCCGGAAGCATCATCGCATATACATAAGTACAAGGCACAAAAGCACGGCTGTTTGAAATGCATCAAAGAGTGGGGAAGAAAAATAAAAAAAGAACAATGGCGTTCAAAAAAATTCTCCCCTAATCGACATCTCGATGAGCGATTTTGCGACAACTTGTTCGCACGTCGAGAAGGCCCGGTCCGTAAAACAAAGTGCAAGGCCATCCTATTATTGTGACTACTTGCGCATCATTTTGTGACACTGCGGCATAGCTATTTCTGATCCTGCTATGACTCGAGTCGCGCCACTACGTACCTTTGTGATTTTTTTCTGATGCAAATTATCATTCTGGCTGGATCGAAAATTGAGAAGAAAAAAGAAAAATATTGCAGGAGGAAAAACCAGAAGGAATTCTGAAGGAAAGGAAAATATATTAGGATAAGTAATAATTAGTAATAAGTAATAAAATCGCTTTATCATTAAAAGAGCTAATTCTTTTCTATTACGTTTTAGAATTTTTGTTTATTGAAAATTAATTATGAAAAAATCCACGGTAAAAAAAAGTATAAAATTTATTTTTAAAATTTGTTTCAATATTCTAAAATAAATAGCATGTGTATGCATTACTTTCATATCAGAAATTTGACTATAAAATGAGCAATATATTATTTGATTTAATATAATAAAGATCTATCATTTTATTATTCAGTTTATTATATATCAGTTTATTATTAGTTGCAAAAATAAAATATTAAATATCAAAATTTTTAAAAAAAATCAAGAATCTTTTTTGAAAATTAATCTTAGAATGTTTTGAAAAAATCCTTTATAATAAATAAGTAACATAAATTATGTGTGAAATAAAATCAATTAAAAATGAATAAAATATACAATTCATCATGATTAAAGAAGAAGATAATTTTAATTGTTTCAATATTAGCAAAATTGTATAAATCTTGATTTTACTATAATATAATAAATTTTTCTGTAACAAGAATAATAATAAAGTTAATATATACAAACAACAAATTCTAGTAATATAAGTAATAAGTAATATAAGTCAGCTGATAATTATATTCAATGTAAAATTTTAATATTATAAAAATTATTATGTTAAAGTTCATTTTTATTTAAATAGAATATTTCTTCAGTTTGTGATAAATATTTGGCAATTTTTTTTTATTAAAAATATTAAACTAGATTAATATATTTTGAATTTTTAACAAATTTCTGATATGAAAATAATAATAAGCCAATGCTTTCTATATTAACATAATGAACCAGTGATGAAAAATAAATTTCTATATGATCTTATCATTATGAACATTTGCATAATAAATTATCAAAAATCCAAATTCTCTAAACCTGAAACAAAAATTGTAAAACATACAATAAAAAGGAATTCAACTGATCTTTCAATAATAAAACAATATATGAATATTATATATTGAAAAAGGAGAATAAAGAAAAAGAGAAAAACGCAGACTCGAGGTAGGTTACCTACGTAGTAGTTACGTGAGCTGCCACTTACATTTGCAAGTCCTTAACCTTGACAACTTTTCCAAAAGTACCCTCTCCTAGGGTGGCCAGTACTTTATCTGCAATGTAAAAAGATAAATAAGCGTCCGGGTACATCAAAGACCTCGCGTCGATTGAAGATCGTGTTTGTTGCTCAATGAAGCCCTATATTTAATATTTAATATTTATAATTGCTAAGATACACTGATATATTAATAATAATCTCTAATATATCAATTAATAGAATTATTTTATTTCATTGATTTTATTAATCTTTTGTCTATATTAAAACAAAAGATCATCAAAGAATATTCCTGACAAAATTCAGATAAAAGTTAAAAAGAGCAACAGAAACGTACTTTCAATTTGACGTTAGGTCGATGTTCAATACGCCATACGTCGTGAACGGATGTATGAATCAAGTGAAAAAAACGGTATCATAGAGCTTTATGTTTTATCGATCGGAACTGCTGCTCTCCTAAAGGCCGAGGTACCCTAATTATAAAAAATCGGCAGCCAGAGGACATAACATTGACTATCAAATCCCGATATACATGTATTCGATTCCGTCATTGACTCTTAATGACTTTATGAGATAAATTCAAATGGAAATATTGATATAAAAAAAAAAAGTCAGGATAAATGAGAGTAAATGTCTAATGTCCTCCGTGCGCCTATTCAAAGACAGTGGAACACGTCATCTCGAAGAAGACGTATATCGAGGAGATAGCGCAAGCGTGGCCTCTCTTTGTCTCTTCTCCTTCCTTCGCCTCTCTGTCTCTCTGTCTTCGATATCTTTTTACAATGAAAATTACAATGAAAATTACAATGAAAATTAAAAGAATAAAAGAATGAAGAAATTTATATAAGAAATAATATTTGATACAAAGAAAAATCTAAAAAAATACATAATAATGAAGATCCGAGTTGAAATTCCTCTTAAACTATTTAGATGTCTGAAATACTAAAAACAATAGTATACTATATGATAGAATACTAAAAACCTTAGTCGTAGATCTAAAGATCTTAGGAATTGAAAAGACAAAAGAGTAATACTAAATTTCAATCATTTAGTACGCCAAATGATGATAAATAATATAAATTATACTACGCTATATTTCTTAAATAGATGCTACTATTAACTTGAATTAAATTTGTCATCGAATATATCATTAAATTGACGTTCAAAGATGGCTGCATAGTTTTCTTCCTTTTCTATCTAATTTCATTATGCGATATCTAAAATTTTACTTCGTGTTTGTTAGGTTTATGATATATTTAAAAGTCCAGTATGTTTAATAAATACAGTTACTAATCAGAAAAATATTCAGAAAGTAATAGTTAACAAACTGGAATTTTCAATATAGAGGTTATGATGAAATATGAAAAAATAATTTTTAAACTGAATTTGAATATATTCAAAACAATTACAATCAATCAATTTGTATTAAAACGAAAGTTTATATGTCTGTATCATATTATGTCTGAATCTTACAAATCTAAAAGATATAATATAATAATTAATTTAAACTTTACAAGAATTTTATATAAAAAATCTATAATATAATAGAAAAAATATAAAAATATTAAATATTCTTAAAGAAATAACATTGTTTTAAAAGCTATTTTCTAAACTTGTCGATTTTTTAAAATTAATCAAAACTTATTGACAAAAATTTAAATCTATTTTCAATTTCTATTATCAAACATTAATTCGAAACGACATTAGAAAACCATTATTATTTTTGAATTAAAACATGTAAATTTCAAAATATAATTGAAAATTTTTAAAATGAATAAAATTAACTATTTTCCGGATAAAAAACAGATAGAGAATGATCTTAAATAAGAATCGAAGATTTCTAAACACAACAATTTCAAAAGAAAATGAAAAATATAAAGAAACATATATCGAACAAACGAAAAGAGAAGTTGAAAGCCAGAAAAGAAGAGATGCGAGTAGAGTGAACAGAGGCAAAGAGAGACTATGGGCAGATACCGTAGGTAACCGATCCGATCGATCGATCGACCAATCGATCTGAGGCTTGCTTAAATCTACTACAATGAGTGTATTCACGTATTCACGAACATCTATTTGCCAGGATGTCGCCGGATTGGTAAACAAGGTGGCCGTCTTCGTCGTCCTCGACGGAGGGCGGTCGTGGGCTCTACATATGGGCCGGCGGAATCGGTATCAGCGGCGCATGCC